CCGCTGGCGGCGGGCGTGGTGAGCTAGAGCCGTGTCTGCGGCCGCCACCCAGGCAGGAGCTGTTGCTGCAGAACAGCTTGCTGCAAGCAGCACGTTGTGATTGTTTATTTTTAAACTCCTGGAGAATTTGTATTCTCGAAGAACTGGAAAAACGGTAGCCACTTATATGACTTACCAGCATAGCTGAGGGTTGGGTGTAAGTGTCCAACACAAACTTGACCTTTGAAAGAGATCTCGGCCAGCGCTCCCGCGGGTGGGACGGTGTCCCGGCAGGCATGAGGAGGAATGCCTCCAGCAGCCGGAGCATCTTGGGCTGTTTGCTCCACATCCTCGTCCCATTCCTTGGGGCGTGAAGCCGTTCAGCCGGGTGCTTCCCGCTCCGTTCAGCCGGGTGCTTCCCGCTCCGTTCACCTGGGTGCTTCCCGCTCCGTTCAGCCATGTGCTTCCCGCTTGCCGCGGTGAACAGCCGGCTGCCGGGGTCAATCCCCCGCTCCCGGCCAAGCTGCCTGCCACGCGGGTCGCGTTTTGTCTCACTCCAAAGGCGGGTGTCGAACATACACTGACTCAAAAAACTTTTCCGTAGGCGGAACAACAGTTAGTTGATTGCGCTCAGGCTTTTAACAACCACGGCTGCAGTGGGTAAGTAATACAGAGTAATAAAGAATATCTTATGTTCCGTGATTGACAGCCTCCCTCAAGACCTCATGTCGGGATCCTTTCAGATCTTGGAGTGGTTTTTGTTTTCCCTTGGCTGAGGTGTGTCAGGGAAAACAGTTCTGGGTTTGGTTTGGTTGGATTTGCTTGCTTTAATTTTGCCCTCCCTAGAGGTCAGCTGTTTCACTGAACCTCCAGCATTTCCTAACCTCTGTTGTTCCTCTTGTTTATTAGTTTTTCTTTTGGTATTTGTTTTGTTACAGTGTCTTCTGATACCGCAGTCATGGGTGCTGCCTAGCTGGGCTTTAACCCGCTCGGGGAAAACAAGGGGGTTTTTATCTGTCGCTCTGCTCATGGGACATGCACGTCTCGTGGCGCTTTAAGGAGCCCCAGAA